CAGGGGCAGGTAATCCCACTTTTCCACTGTCACAGCTTGGACACTCACAGTATATGGGCTGTCTCCCAGATCCCACAGGAGCAATCCAATTCCATCAGAGGGTATGTGGACTCTCTTGGCTTTCCTGGTATATTCCTGCCATAGTCGTTTTGGAGCAAAAGTTGATGATCCGAGTCTCCACACCCTGCTCTGTCCATCCGAACTGGAACTGCAAGCTAGTTCTGCCTCCTATCCCATGTTCTTTTAATTTCTATTAGATTAATAGTATCCAGTCTTTTTTCTTTTCTAATGAATGCATTTAGGGCTATAAATTTTGTTCTAAGTACTACTGTAACAGCATTCCACAAGTGTGGATGTATGGCATTTTTATTATCATTCAGTTCATAATATAGTCTTATTTTTATTATGATTTCTTCTTTGGATCATGACTTATTTATAAATATGCTTTAAAACATCCAAATGGGCCGGGCGCGGTGGCTCAAGCCTGTAATCCCAGCACTTTGGGAGGCCGAGACGGGTGGATCACGAGGTCAGGAGATCGAGACCATCCTGGCAAAACACGGTGAAACCCCGTCTCTACTAAAAAATACAAAAAAAAACTAGCCGGGCGCGGTGGCGGGCGCCTGTAGTCCCAGCTACTCGGGAGGCTGAGGCAGGAGAATGGCGTGAACCCGGGAGGCGGAGCTTGCAGTGAGCTGAGATCCGGCCACTGCACTCCAGCCTGGGCGGCATAGCGAGACTCCGTCTCAAAAAAAAAAAAATAAAATAAAACATCCAAATGTATAACTTCATTCAATTTTTTGACTTCAACAATATATAGTGGAGAGAGAACATGGCCTGCATGATCCCATTTTGTTAATATTTGTTGAATTGTATTTTATGACCTAATATGTGATTATTATAACTGTTGCATGTGTACTTGAAAATAATATGCATTATTAATTTTTAGGTATAACATTCTATGTGCCATTAGATATAAATTCTTAATTTGTATTTTAAAAATCCATACACTTACTTTGTTACACTGTAAGGGTAGACTTATAAATCTCTCCTTGTAATTCCGTCAAATTTTGCTTTATGTATTTTAAGGCCATATTTTTAGGGGTATATAAGTTTATAAATTTCTCCTAGTGAATTCTGGGTTTTTTTGCCATTTTATGATAATCCTTTTAGACATGACTAATGCTTTTTTACTTTAAGACCTTTTTTGTGTTTTAATGTAGTTAATAACTTTTCTTTTCATCGATCTTTGTCTGGCACATCTATTTCCCCACTTTTACTTTACACCTTTCTGTTTTCCATATTGTTGAAGAATTGGTCTTGTTTAAACCATAAAGTCATTTTTTTCTTTATTTAATCTATCAGTCTCTGGTTTTATTCAGCAAACTCAATTTGTTTACATTTCTTGTAGTTACTAACCCATTTGGAATTGTTTCTACCATCTTAATTTGTGCTTTCCATCTTTCTAGCTTTTACTGCTTTTCCTATCTTCTATAGCAGGGATTGGCAAATTATACCCTTCAGGCCAAATCCAGTTCATTTGCTGTTTTTATAAATTAAGTTGAATTGGAGTGCACCACCATACTCATTTGTTTAAATTTTCTCTATGGTTGGTTTTGCACTACAATAGCAGAGTTGAATAGATACAATAGAGATGATATGGCACACAAAATCAAAAATATGTACTATCCGGTCATTTACAGAAAACATTTGCTGTCTTGTTCAATAGGATTAGAGAGTTTCTTTTTTCATTTTTCCTTTACTGTTTTGAAAATTGCAAATTCTACTTTTACCATGCCCCACAACTCCCAGCAGTCATGACTAAAATTTTAACATGTGTACTCAGCTTTCCAAGATCTCAAGTTAACTCAATTGTTCACGGGATCATTCAATGATTTTGGAATTCTAGATTATTATCCTCCCACCTTACATATAATTAGGGGACTTGGGTCATTCTCCTCCCGACTTACATGATACTTAATCCAGTATTTCAGGTCCTACATGTTTTTATACATGTGAAATGTCATTACTATTATTGTTGTCATCCATTGTCAATCCTGTTCCAATTTATCCATATGTTTACTAATTTATTCGCTCACCATTCTGCTTTCAGTTCACTTCTTCATTCTGGATTCAGTTTTCTCCTTGATAAAGTGCATTCCTGGAAGTTATTTAGGTGGGACTCTGTTAGTTATAAATTCCTTAGTGCTTTGTTTTTCGTCCTTTCTCCCTAATTCTTGTATGACAGTTTAGTTAGGTAGAAAATTATATTTTCTCTCAACACTTTGAAGATATAATTCCACTGACCTTTGGTCATCATTGACAAGTGGCAGCCAAATTAATTGTCATTCCTTCATAGGTCATCTTATATTTCTGGCTACTGTTAAGGTATTATCTTTGTACTTTGCATTCTTACATAGCCTACTCTAATCTATCCAGGGATGCATTTCCTTTTATCTATCCTAATATTTAGGACTACACTTTCCTTGAATCTGAGAACTCAGAACTGTTCTCAGTTTTGAAAATTCTCGGTCACCATCTCTTTCAATATTGGCTCACTCTCATTCTCTCCTTTCTCTCCATCTTTAACTCCTATTGTGCTTCTATTAGACCTTCTTGTCCTATTCTCCATATTTATTAATCTTGCTTCCAAATTTTCTATCTCTTCATTTCCATGTGCTCACAGTGATTTTTCACTTAACGAATTCTCCTTTTAGTTATGTCTAATTTGCTTTTTAACCTAATCATTAAAGATTTAGTTACATTTCAATCACTATATTTTTTATTCCTATACATTTCCTTTTGTTCTTTTCAAATCTTCCCTGTCTTTTGTCTTCCCTTGGTGGCAGCTTGCTGTTTTCTCTTTTTTTAAATTTTCCATTGTGTCTTTAATTCTATTTCACAATCTTTATTTTGATAATATTGTTGCCTGAAGCTCTTAGGAATTTAATCCCACTGTTTGTTATATCTTTGAACTTGCTCAGAGTTTATTTTTCTCCCTTGGATTGGCACTTTTGGATTGTGAGTTCATCTTCATTGCAGTTTTTCTGTAGGAATTATTTGTGTACATCCACAGAGATTTTGTGCTTTCTCCTGCCAGGTGCTCCAGGGTTAATTTTATCTAAATTGCTCAGATTGGGGGCTCCATGCCACTCAGATAGTATAAATTCACACCCCAAATACACCTGAGGACAGCCACTACATACAAATGCTCAAAGGCAACCATTTTCTCCTACTCAGAATCAGGCCAAGGTTGACAGGCTTTCTGTTATTTCCCTGTGCCAATGGCTGGATTGTTCTTCTGGTCCACCTTTTCACTGGAAGTGTAATTCTTCATGGGCAGGGGACAACTCTTGTATAGGAATCTCAGTTCTAATTTCCAGCCTCTTATGGGCTCAAAGATTCATTTCCTATTTCTGCATGGCCACTAAAATCCAAAAATTCATTAGTTAAAAAGACTAATGTATAGTAATCTCAGTTCTAATTTCCAGCCTCTTATGGGCTCAAAGATTCATTTCCTATTTCTGCATGGCCATTAAAATCCAAAAATTTATTAGTTAAAAAGACATACAAGGTAACCTCAACTCCCACCTTTGCCATCCCATGCCTTCCCCCAGCATAGCCCTAGTATCAGTTATCTTATATTTCTGGCTTCTGTTCCCTCTTTGGTTTGGGCCTCTACAAGGGATTTCCCTTATCTTTTCATGAGCAATGTTTATTATACTTGCTGTATTTTAGCCAACATCCCTAGACATTTTATATCAAGATGTTTCTTAGGGTAGCTGGTTCATCAGACTGCTGAAAACTGAGGTTTAAAATAAACATTTACAATAAACTATTTCATACATTATAAATCCAATGCTAATATCCAGCTTAACTCATCCCTAGTTTATTAATGAAAATGTGTGACTTTGGGGAAGGGCCTCTGGTATTGCAAGGAACATTTCTCATCCCATTCCCTGGCTCCTGTGCCCCAGTCTTGCCACTGAGCTTCTCTATAGTTTTAATTCCTGAAAAACGGATGGGTATACGGGAGAAATAATCTCTTTATGCCTGTCAGTGGTTATCTGAGATGCCAAAAATAATAATGAGGAAATAGAACAACCAGCGAGGTAGCAGTCTCTCAAATCTTTCATAGTTCTAGAATTTGCCCTTTGGAGCATTTTCAAAACACCAGAGAGGTTAGTGCCTGTGGAAGCACTCACTGTCTTCTAGCAAAAGTTCTTTCCAATATCTTGGTCAAAACAATCATTTGTAAATCAGCCAATATTTTTACAGCTCAAAGAACGTTTTCATGCCACTTACCTTATGAAAGTTGAGTGTCTACCTCTTACAAATGAAAAAAAAAAAAGAGAGAGACTGAGAAGATTAAGTAAGTTGCTTGCCCTGCTCAATGTTATGCAGTCAGCAGAACTAGAACTTTACTATTTTTAGCAGAAAACACTGTTCATAAATTCTTACAAGGGTAGGTGCCAGAATTTGCTCTCCTGCTGCTACACTGTCCCAGACACTACCTATAGGAGCTTAAGCAACATTAAAAGTTAAATTAAACAGCTCTTAAAATGGTAGTTGTGCAATTTCTGAGTGATGCTAGCCAAGGGTAGATTCCCCAGAGCTTGGAAGTAAACCAGAAAAGAGCAATGAGATGTCCAGGCATCGGAAAGTGGGTCCTAGAAGGTGCGGCCTGGAGAAACTGGAGCAACATGCTGGAGTCCAGCACTGTCTGTGGCTGGCTCCTGTGTCAAAGGCTGCTAGGGGTGCAGCAAGACGTGTCTTGCTGCTGCCAGGGACATGGAGAGCCCGTGTGACTCACCCTGCCTTTCATCTGCATTTGTTCTCTTGGCAAGAGTGATTTTCATTGTACCATAAACTCAGTGTTACCAAACCCACTTGGAGTGATGCACTGACTGAAATTGCCCCTCAAGGAGGAAGGGCTAACACCGCCTTGCAAACAGAGGCTTTGCTATGTGAGTCTTGGCTTCCTGGCTTTCCCCATGAAGAACTTCCTGTCAGCCCACAGACAGGAAGTGAGCTGCGGGAAAGCGCTGGCTGCCAGCCTCCTCGTTCCACACTGGACCAGGGGCAGGGGTTCCTCTCAGAGACCAACCAGAGCAAAGCGGCTCGCAGGGCAAGGTCTGAGAGAGGAGCAGAAGCCCAGAAGCAGAAGTCAGACCACGGACGGGCAGGGACAGGTGAGCTGGGGATAGAACCACAGATCTGCAGCCTGAGGGGCAGGAACCACGTGGGCCTGATCCAGGAGGGTCCATAGAACCGGCGCTGTGGTTGCTGCCTGGTTTTCCTTGGAGGTTAGGGCACGATGCAAGAGCAGTGAGTCTGAGTATAACACGTTAGGAATGGGCAGGCAGCCCTGAGATTGTAGCATGGAGTGGCCAGAACACGCCTGTGCAGCCCTTCTCCAGGGTGGGGCAGTACACAGCCTGCTCTCCACTGAACGGGACTCCTCCTTATTCCTTTGTACACTAATTCAGCTGTCTTCCCACCCTCCATGGGATAAGTGCTGGGGGTGCTATGCTACCCAGAGTGGGGCACGGTGCTGGGTGCTGGGTGCTGGATGCTGGGGGCAGGTGTGAGCTGGGCTCTGTCCTGGGGCCTAAGCTAGTATGAGCCACTGTCCCATTTGAGAGTCTCCAGTCCCATCATATTCAATCCCAGCTCAGCGGATTTTCACACCCAAATCACCGCCTCCTGCCCCCAAATCTGGAACTACCAGTAAAAAAAAAAAAAAAAGAAAAGAAAACGGTCTGTGAGATGGACATGGCACTGAGGAGGGGAAAGTAAATGAGGAACCACGCAGGGGACCAGGCAGGCACCAGGCCCACCTGGCATCGCCACCCAGGGACCGCTTTAACCACCCGAGCCTCCAGCGTGGGGGGAGCGTTCATTCTCTGAGGTCATCATGAGGCTCAAAGGGAAGTGACCATACAGTGTTCTCAAGGGTGTACATTTCTAAAGTCATCTCAAGAGAAAGCCAGGCAGAAGGCGAGAGGAAGAAAAAGGCGGTGCCGGCAGCGAGGGATGTGGATACCCCGAGCGGCACCAACAGCGGCGCGGACAAGAAGCGCTTTGAAGTGAAAAAGTGGAATGCAATAGCCCTCTGGGCCTGGGATATTGTGGTTGATAACTGTGCCATCTGCAGGAACCACATTATAGATCTTTGTATAGAATGTCAAGCTAACCAGGCGTCCGCTACTTCAGAAGAATGTACGGTCGCATGGGGAGTCTGTAATCAAGCTTTTCATTCCACTGCATCTCTCGCTGGCTCAAAACAGGACAGGTGTGTCCATTGGACAACAGAGAGTGCGAATTCCAACAGTATGGGCACTAGGAAAAGACTTCTTCCATCAAGCTTAATTGTTTTGTTATTCATTTAATGACTTTCCCTGCTGTTACCTAATGACAGATTAGATGGATCCGTGTTTTTTCTGCTTTGTTTTTTCAGTTTGCTGTTTCTGTAGCCATATTGTATTCTGTGTCAGATAAAGTCCAGTTGGAGTCTAAAACAAAAAAAGAAAAAGAAAAAAAGAAAAAGGTGGTGCCCACGCCTGCCGATGGACTTGGGGAAACGTGGACCTACCGCAGTACCCCAAGGACCCTGAGTTCCATGTTCCCCAGCAAGGCCTGGGTGACACCTCTCTTTGGGCCAAGGTGAGACCACCATGGTGGGACCACTCCCGCAGCCCCCGGGACAGGCCCGGACGCCCCAGCAGGGAGCCCCCACCCCACCCACGTCCCACCACCTCCTCCCGGCTTCCCAGCGCCCTCCCCGGCATCTGGCGGCCTGCGGAGCCTCCCACTCCAAGGAGGTCTCCTCCACGGACTCCAGGCAGAGGAGGACGTTGTCCTGCGCGCATTGCTCCCTTCAGCGTCCCTCGCCCGGGAGGCTGCGCCACATTCTTGGCAGGCGGGGCCTGTCTCATCCTGCTTTGCTGTACATGTGGACCCCATTTGCAGGGGGCACCGCGCTGGGGTGGGGGAGATCCAGAGGGGTGGCTGTGGGACTGGCCTTAAACACTTCCACCTGAGAATGTGGAGGGAACACCCCCCAACGCGATGAAAGGGACCAGAGAGCAGGACGCTGAGCACCAGGAAAAGAGGAGCAGAGAAGCCCCCGGTGTGAGAGCGCAGGAGGGGGCCCTGCGGAGGCCGTCAGCCCCCCTGCTGAGCCTCGAGACCCCCAGCAGGAGGCAGGTGGGGGACAGCGGGGACAGAAGAGTAGTGGGGTACAAGGCCAGCCCACTGCACATTCTTGCCACTCAGGGCTGGCAGATGCCAGGCTACCCCAAGAAGGCCGACCCCCAGGCTCTCATCGCGGGTGCTGCCTCAGCATCCATGGCAGCCCATCGCTACAGCATTGGTGGGGACATCCGCAGGCTCTGCGGGCCCGGAGCCCTGCCTTGCAGCTGGCCAGGCACCCCCACAAGGCGCCAGAGACCATCCGGTCCAGCCATCACTTCCCACACAAACAAACTGAAATGCAGGTGGGTAGTTAGGCATCAACTAGCTTGGGTTAGTATCCGTGGCCTCCGGCAGCTCTTCCTTTCCCAATCTGAGGGGCTCCTGGGAGGGCTCTGAACAGCCCAGAGTCTTATTGCTTGTATTTGAAAACAAAGGCACAAAGCCTCAGGGAGGGCAAAGCCCTCCAGCTCTGGCCGTGCCTGGTGCCTACAATCTGGCCTCACTGCTCCAAGGCCACCAGCTCCTGAATAACCCCTTTTCTCCGGCAGCAAGGACTTCAGGACTCCCGGGCAGATCCACAGGGGGCAGACCCAGGCGGGGCAGCACCCCCTGCAGATCCAAGCCTCATGCAGTCTCTTCCACACCTGGGCCCCTGAGGCTCCCCCACGGGCTGCTGCATTTCCTATTTCCTCCAAGACAAAGTGGACCCATTCACCTTTTTCCGTCATGTCCCTCTCTCCCTTCTCCTCCCTGGTTCCACTAAAAGTGTGAGCTTCCAATACTTCCTGGGTTTGAAAAGTTTCCAGTCCTATCAGGACACAAAGACAGTTCATTTTGGTGTCTGGGCTCCTGTCAAGGGACCCATCACTAGACAAAATTAGACAAACAGGTGACGTCATGGGGAGTTCCTCACTCACACATGCACCATGGTCTGTCTCCTGGTCTTTGTCATTCACACGTTCTAGATGAGCATTTATTTACTATGGCCATAATCTGTGTTGGGCACCATGGGCCCAGAGATACCTGAGGCACAGACCCTGTCTCCAAACACAGGAAAACACAGAGACCGTGAGAAAGAATTGCAGCTTTCATGGCAGAGTACATGGCATGCCTGTGTGGGGGTAGGCAGGGGCCTCTGAGCCAGGACAGGGTAGAGGGGACAGTGGAGGGTCAGGAACACCTTCCAGACGGGCTCACAGGGAAGGATAGGGAGGGAATGACCAGGGAAGAAACGGAAAGGAACAAGGCCAACTCCAAAGGGCAGAGCCCCTGGACACAGCGGGGCACAGGAGGCAGACAGGCAGAGCCAGGGATGGGGGATCCCACGGGGAAGTGAGGCGGGCACAGGGTTCAAGCACAGCCATGGTAGAATGTGCTGTGCATTGTTTCAAGGTCCTCTCGGTGGCTGTGTAAGGAATGGACAGACTCAGAGTGAGAGGGTGACCCAGAGACTCAAGAAAAGCGGCAACAGGAGAACAACCTGTGGCACTTAAGATGCCCAGAGCCGTCCTGCCTGCTTTGCAAACATGAGCCCATGAAATGCTTGTCACCACACAGTGGGGTGAGCACTGACATTGCCCCGATTTACAGAAAAGGCAACTGAGACACAGAGGAGTCGGCCTGCCGAGGTCTGGGAGTGACCCCGAAAATAGAGCAGGGCCTGAAACTAGGCAGTGGTGAGGGGGCAGGAAGAGGAATTTGGTCCAGAAACACTTAGGGTTCGTGCCCAACCAGGAGCAGGAATCTGGGAGAGGTCTGGGGTGACCCCCAGGTCCCTGGCTGGGGTAACTGGAGGCGCTCAGGGCTGCAGGGAGGAGAGTCTATTTAAAGGGGAATGGAGGGGGCCCACTGGGGGCAGGACAATTTGGGAACATTAGTGGGATGTTGGGGGAAGATTAGATGTATAAGTCATGGACACCCAGGTCGGTCCCAAAGGACAAATGTGTGGGGTGAGGAGAGAGCTAAGAAACCAGAGGAGACCCCACGTCACTGAGTCCTCCTGCCTGGTGGCCTTGGGACAACCTGCCCTAGAATTCCTGATTCCCAGTTGAGGGGAGAGAGGTCTGGGGAGAGGCAGAGCTCTTAGAGCCGGGAGGACATTCTTGCTTCAAGGCTCAAGTAGGGGGATGAGAAGGAGGCCCCTTGGCGGAGAAAGTTCACGCGGTAAGGAGCGCCCAGAGTGGCTTATGCGGGAAAGAGGAAGTTCAAGAGCACCATAAAAGGTTAGAATTTCAGAGAGGAAGAGAACCTCTTAGCACTTCCAATAGGTGATTTTCTCTTATTAAAAAAAAAAAAAAAAAAAAAAAAAAAAAAGAAAGAAAGAAAAAAAAGAAAAAGGAAAGAAAGAAAAAGTTTAAGAAGCAAGAAACTTCACAAAGGGAAAAAGTAATGTTCAACCTCTGGGCAAATTCTAGCGGAAAAAGGGAGAGAGAGAGGTGGGTGGGAGGCTAACACAATTTATGGGCCCTCAGAGCTGCGCCAGCTTGAGAAGGTGGCGGAGCCTCTTGGCCCGGGGCCTGCTGCTGACTTGAGCTTTGAAAAACAACTTCCTGTCAATAAATGTGAACAAAAGTTTGGACCCATCTTCAAAGTGATGAGTTATGCTGAAAGTATGTTCCTGCGAACGGGGGAATGGCTTGTTCCTAGCGCTCTGGCATTCAGGAGAGTTTATAAATAACCACTCAGCTCTGCCTGGGTTATGCCCGCCATGGGAGTGCACAGTGCCAGCGAGCAGAGGGAGACGTGGGGAGCGGGGCCATGTGTGCGGGGGCCGTGCTCCCTGGTAGGGCTGGCGCAAAGTGCCTGGAGAAGCGCGAGTCACGTCTTGGCGTGGGAGTAGGGGGCTTCCCCAAGCCTCTGTTCAGGGCTGGGCAACAGGGGACCCCCTGGACCAGCTCTTCCATTTGCATTTTGGAGGGAAAAAAGGAAGGAATGGATTCTACATGTGGTTTCCATCGGCCCAGAAAAGTAAAAACATGTGCCAGTGTTTCTAGCAGACATGGTCCTTGTTATTTTAATGAGAAAGACCATAATTAGGGACAACAGTGAAAAAGAAGCCATGGGTCCCCTTTGTGCCCTCCCCTCACCCGATGGGGAGCAGTCGCCCCGATGCACGGTCTTCCCACCCTTTAACCTGCTCCACCAGCACGGGGGGAAGGGAGAAAGCTGGGGACAGGCAAGTCCTCCAACCCCAACAGTTCCTTTCTCAGCGCTGAAGGTGCCGCCCAAGCAGTTCATTTGTCAGCGTTTAAACATCATTACGACGTTAACAGCCTCTCCGATGCCAGAGCGTTGGCTTTGCACGCCTATAAATTAGAGTACATCAAACCGGAGTTTATTGAGTCTTGGCCAATCAGAAGTAAAACTTCCATAACTTTTTACAATTCTCTGCATTCTTCCAATTATATTAAAATATTTATTTGCACCCTGCATGATATATATAAACGTTTTATTAAGAACTTTTGAAACCCGGTTCTTTAAACAGAAGAAAGATCCACTCCACGCTGGCAGACGCCCGGCCAGGATGTGCTGTGTCCAGTTGATTTCATGGAGGGAAACAACTCTGATTGGATTTGCAAGGGATTAGCAAGAAGGAGCAGCAGAGCACGAAGCCGCCTCCGAATTCATGGCTGCTCCTCCCTTAGCAAATCCCCTGCATTTGGTCGTGACACCAATGAGGAGCAGGTCCCTGTTTTGTCTCTGCCTGGGCTGGCCTGTCTGGCACAGTCTTCCAGGGTCACAGTACATGTCCTGCCTCTGGGCAGCTGCCTGAAACAGGCCCCCACAACAGCAGGGAAGATGCACAGAGATGTTCCGTGATGACTGAGTGAAGAAGCAGGCAGTCGGGGTGAGCTGGGTTAAAACCCAAAGGCCCTTCTGCCTGCCGTTTCCTGGCTCTGTGCTGTGGGGCCTGGACTCCCCCTCTCTGAATCTCAGTTTCCTGTCTCTAAAGTGGGCGTCACAGTGACAGCCGCCACCATTCCTCCACTACCACAAGAATCACAGGTGGTGATCTGCCTCATGTTCCCAAAACACCTCCGTGCGGCCACGTCCTCCTTTGAGCCTCGTCTCATCCCATCATTACCTCCTCCTGAAGGTCCTTCTGCTGCGGACACATCAGGTGCGTGGGGACATCTGTAACACGTGACCAACCAGGAGGACACTGAGGCCTACCTGAGGCCCTATCTGTGGGTGTGATCAGAATGCCACCAAGAACAGCTCTTGTGCTTACAGGGTTCTAAGTCCTGACCATCTCGGGAAATCCTCGACACTGCCCTACGAGGTAGGGACTCTCGCTGCAGATGAGGGAGGAATGTCTCA